GGGCGTGCGCTCAGGAGAAGCTTCATATTTAATTCTGTGAATTAAATGAGTAGAGTAGTGACATTTCTACGGTGATGTGTTTCAGTTTCTGAGCAGGAAAAAAGGAAATTGCTTGAAACTGAAACTTTTTTTCTTTTGTAATTTAGGAATATTAATGCAAACGTGCCATAATGAGAACATGAAAATCCTGGGAAAATACTATATTGCTGCATCCTATGTAAAGTATCTGGAGTCCGCAGGTGCAAGAGTTGTACCCGTAAGGTATGATTCGATATTTTTTACTCTGAGTAATAAAAGCTGCAACTGCTGTTTTATCTCTAAAATTATCTTTTATCTCTAAAATGAATGCTTTCTCTCCTATGATCACGTCATTCAAGTGTGTTAACATCACACCTGATTTCTGTCACACATCTAATGCTTAGGAGTCTCTCATTAAGTCGTTTAAGGTGTGAAGCTCTGTGCATCTGTGATATCATTAGACATGAGGCATATGTATTAGACAGAGAATGAAATGAGTCACCTTTCCCCCAGAAAAGGTGATGCTCATCAGACATCGTGAAAGTAATGGAGTGAAGGCATCTACAGCGTCACTTCATCCCGTAATATTAGGGTAAGGAAACACTTAGGGAATCAAGGAGTGTTCTAGAAGAGGACTTTTAAAACACCTTTGCGCTCTACTCTAGAAGTTTGGGGGCTTCCCTGGTGGCACAGTGGTTGAGAATCTGCCTGCCAATGCAGGGGACACGGGTTCGAGCCCTGGTCTGGGAAGATCCCACGTGCCGCGGAGCAACTGAGCCCGTAAGCCACAACTACTGAGCCTGCGCGTCTGGAGCCTGTGCTCCACAGCAAGAGAGGCCGCGATAGTGAGAGGCCCGCGCACCGCGATGAAGAGTGGCTCCCGCTCGCCGCAACTAGAGAAAGCCCTCGCACAGAAACAAAGACCCAACACAGCAAAAATAAATAAATAAATAAATTTATAGAAGTTTGGAAATTACTACTACAGCAGTGTTGCTTCAGTATAAATTACAGGTATTGCAATTTTAAAGGAGGTACATTATTTTTGTGATATAATGACCTAGAATAAGAAAATGATTCATGTCATATTCATGACATGACATGATAATAAATGATGCATGTCATTTTGATTTGGAAAGAGTTGAATTTTTTAACAGAAGCCTTGTAAGTATTGATATTATCTTATCATCCAAAATTGGTTATATTTGGGGGTCTTCCAGCACCCTCACCTAATCCATTATAAGTGATTTCACACACAAAACACAACTGTTTGCTCTGGGCAACTTGTTTTTGTAAATAATTTCGCATTAAACAATTGTAACAAAGAAAAGTACTGCTCAAAAAGAACATTAATACTAAAAATGCAAATATTACAATTTTGAGAATGGTACCACCAAATGGTTTTATGTTTAGATTCATAAGGATTGTCTTTTTGCTTGATCTTTTACATTTAACTGTCTCTACTCCAAGATGAACGTTTGCTTTTGACATTAGTCTTCAATTTTATAGTAGCAGATCTAATTTTTCAAGTGAAATCTTATCTGGAACCCAGATAACAGCAGCATTTTAGAGCTGAGGCAGAGGTTCTGGACAGTCCTTAGGACAATGTTGCAAAGTTTTGATCCTGGAAGCTTTTTCTGCAAGCTCTTCTTTTTAGGACATAGTGCTGATAACACAGGTGGGAGGTGGAGAGTAAAAAGGCAGGTAGGCCAGTTCAGAGATGGCTGCTAGGTATGAGTAGGCTAGGTGTGAAGTGAGAAGGGCTTGGCTTAGAGCAGTGGTTGTAGGATCGATGGGTAAATATTCTTTAAAAAAAAATCAGTAAGACCTGACGAGTAATAGAATGAAAGGGCACAGGGAGGAATAGATGAGAATGACAGAAGTTTTGAAATCGGAAATTTTGAAACTAGGGAAGTTTTGAAACTGATGATTTGTAGAATCCTGGGACTTAAGCCTGAGATACTGAAAACGTGACTGTCAGCATTCAGGTTAATTTCCAGCTTGGGTTCCCAAAGTTCACTTGAAGGTATATTGCTCAGAATCAGAATCACGTGATCCTATAAAAACAACGTAATGCATGGCAGCTTAATTCCCAGAGGAACCTGCAGAGGATTGCCTAATGTAGAACGAGACAAGTGATCACACCAATAACATTGGATTCATTTCTGAATTTCGGATGCTGGGGACCAGCTTCTGCAGTTTAGAAGGAAAAGGAGGAGGATGGGAGACCTAATCCTGGAGCAGCTGAAGAAGTTTGTCTTTGGTGTCCTTCCGCCTTCTGTCTGCTGCCTTCGCCCTCAGGTGGCCGGTGCACTCAGGTTATAATGATCTTCCGCCGCAGGACTAGGGAGACCCATCGAGTGTCCCCCACCTGAGAGCTGGCATGTGGTTGCCCACAGGCTGCTCTTGGTTTAAAAATGTGCTTCGTTCACGCAGTGCTTAAAATATGTACAAATCAGAAGACTTTGTAAAAGTCTGAATTTTTGGCTTCCTTTTTTTTGAAGGCAGTTTTCTGGAGCTCATTTTAAACGGAGCACGTGCTCTCCATTGGCAACAGTACCTGTCACTCCTTTTCACGTTGCTGAAGCTGTGTCATTTGCCATCGTTACCAGACTTTCGCTGTTTTCTTTAAAAAGAACTTATTGAGAGGGTCTTTTGTTTCAAGAAAGTCTGATAACATGGAAGCACCGTCTGTGTTCAAAGAATGTGACCTGGTCTGTTTTGCCTGCAAGGCCTCTGAGGCGCTTGAGTTTGTGACACCCCCTGCCCCCAACCAACAGTTAAGCCCCTTAATAGTGATAAACAGGGCCCGAAAATTCAGTCATGGACAATGGGGGAGCCATTTACTTAGAATGACTGAAGTGACTGGAAACAGGCTGCATGGCTAGCTGGTAGGAGTCCCTGGAGCACAGCTGAGTGATCTGAATCCATTCTGGTTCCTCGTGGTGGTAGTTGCCCATCTGGTTTAAATATCCATGGGGAAGATTCTGGGTCCCTGCTGGTTCCTTCTCTTTGACACAATCTGGGGAGATAGAACTGGCAGAATACTGGGACTCACATTTCATCTTCCTATCACTTCCCAAGTCACAGCCACCTGCCCATCCATCCTCCATTTAAGATGGTGGTAAGCACCACTGCAGTGTCACCCACTGCTTTGTGGCTCTCTGCGGGAGGAGGATTATTATGAATTTCTGAACAGCACAGCTCATTTGGGCTCAGAGGAGAGCCTAGAGGGGTTTTCTGGCAAAGCACAGCTACGTCCGGGCATCATGGGTATCTCCTTAATAATGGGAGAAGTGTCCTAATGCCTCTAAAACTTTCCTGTGCGGCAGAAATGGACTGTAGTTGATATTTGAGAAGGCATTATGCCTTTTTATTCTCTTATACAACCAGAAGACTCTAAACGTAGCACAGTTCTTGCAGGAATTCATAAATAGGATGCTCTTTTCCCTTGTTCTTTCATTCCGTCGAACTTCTGGAAGAGTAACCTGTCTTACTGTGACATAAGTCAAGGTTGTAGCCAGTTGTCACAGACTAATCCCATGGGTTTTCTCTGGAGAAGGGAATAAGATCATCAATAACGTGGTGATTGTTAGGAAAACCTTACCAGATGTTTGATGAAGGGAACTTCAGAATAATTACCTGGGCAAATTAGGCCCATCTACAGGGACCTGCATGTAGTCTGTACCACCTAGATCTGAACTCTTCTGACTTGGGAATACACAGTAGTTCTGAGACCTTTGCGGTTGGCGGTAGGGGTGGGTTGAAGCAGGGACTTGGCATTTATATTTTTTGCCAAAGCTTCCTGTAGTTAAGATAGGTATGCTAATAAATCTCTTAGTCTTTACTTAAAACTACTGAATATCCTTACTTTTTTTTTTTTTTATCTTGGCTAGCAGGGAAATTACTGGTACCCAAATCTCATGGTCTTTAATGTTTTGCATATTAACATGTACCTCACAATATCAAATTACATTAGACCAGAAGAAAACATGTTTACTTGTCTGATTAGCAAAACAAGGATATAAGTATGTGGTTTTCATGTAGTTTGAAAAAAATGCCTCTAGGAAGGCAGAGAGGTGATATAGTCCAGTATTTAAGAATTATTTTTCACCCGGCTTTTAAAAATTAATGTGGTGACTTCATTTAGAGGCTTACTTTTCTTCTTAAGTTTTGGAAATGGATGTTTTGTAATTATTTTTATTGTTTTCAGGCTTGATCTTAAAGATGAAGAGTATGAAAAGCTTTTCAAGTCTATTAATGGGTAAGTTGCCAACATTGGTTTAATATAGTGTAGGAGGTCCAAGCAATGCAAAGAAGTACATATAAATTTCGTACATGTTTCTATGTAGCTATTTTACAGTGGTGTAATATTAGTTTTCTGAGTTGAGAGGTGCAGAAGTCCTGCAGAGAGAAGGCAGGTTAAGAAATAAATGTTACACAGTAGACAACATACAATTTTTTTTAATGTGCGACATAGTCTTTATTCTTTTAATGCTTGTCTTAAATGTTTTGAAGCCACTTTGGAGGCCGTGGCATACTGCTTGCTTAGGGGATGTATAAGTCTTAAGAATGAGAATATTAATTGGTTATTTTTCAGAAGGTGACTTGGATAGAACTTGGAAAAAAAGTTTTATATCCTTTAGCTTCTTCGCAAAAGATATGATTGCTTAGCTCGCAGAAAAAAAAAAAACCCTGTTAATCATATGAAAAAATGTGCAACATTACTCACAATTAGAGGAAAGCTAATTATAGCAATTAAAAACCATCAAGTTAGCAAAGAGCAGAAAATGTGCTAGTACTCTGTGGTGAGGGTGTGAGGAAACAGTGTTCTTATCCTTTACTTATGGGAGTTGTTGATCCAAATAATCAATAAACAATTATTAAGGAATAGAAGAGAGTTTTATTCGAGCCAAATGGAGGACTATAGCCCAGGAAGAAAGTGCTCTGGAAAAACACGATTTTATATCTTGACAGAGCAAAGAACGTACATCAAACACAACAAGGGTACATTCCTTCAGGGTTTTGACAGACAGATTAGCACATATACAGCGAGTCAGCATGACCTTGGTGTCTGGGAAGGGAACCTTATCTTTGAAGGACTACTAGCATGGACGTCATAGGAAGGGGAGACATTTATCCCTGTCTTCAAAGTGGACTTTTTTTGAAACTTCTGGATAATGCATTATTTTCTTAGTGGTTAAAGCAGTTGTACAGCACTTGTTTGATGCACCATAAGATAGGCAGTTCTAGTCAGCATAAAGTTCAAGCCAAATCATGTGTAAGCCAGGACGATGTCCCCATACCTCAATAGGTGAAAATTTCTTCCATCAGGGTGTGAGTTATATAGCCTTTTGGGAGCAGGTTTTTTTGTTTGTTTGTTTGGTTGGTTGGTTTTTTTTTTTGTGGTACGGGGGCCTCTCACTGTTGTGGCCTCTCCCGTTGCGGAGCACAGGCTCTGGACGCGCAGGGTCGGCGGCCATGGCTCACGGGCCCAGCCGCTCCGCGGCATGTGGGATCTTCCCGGACCGGGGCACGAACCCGTGTCCCTTGCATCGGCAGGCGGACTCTCAACCACTGCGCCACCAGGGAAGCTCTTGGGGGCAGTTTTACAGTATCTATTGAAATTAAAAATGCACATACCATATGACCCAGGAAACCCTTCAGAGGAATTTTATTTTACAAATATAATCAGCCCTTTTAACATATACACACAACTATATATAAAATAGATAACCAACAGGGACCTACTATATAGCACAGGGAACATACTCAATATTTTATAATAACCTATAAGGGAAAGTAATCTGAAAAAGAATATATATACATACATACATATACATACATATATGTATAAAAAAATGAATCACTTTGCTGTATACCTGAAACTAACACAACATTGTAAATCAACTATACTTCAGTAAAAAGAAAATAATAAAACAGAAAGAAAAATATAATCCCCCCTTATGTGAAGACTTAGGCCCAAACATATGCATTGTAGAATTGTTTGAAATACTTCTGATTTAGAACCCATCCAACGGTCCATCAGTTGGGAATTGGATAAAAAAATAGACTATATGCATATAATAGAATATTATGCACAGGTTAAACATGAGGCTATCTATAGATGTTGCCCTGAATCACTATTGTTCTGTGAACCATGTGATAAGAAGCAAGGCACATAGTGGTGTGTATAGTATACTACCATTTACTTTTGTTTTTAAAGTTGGGGTGAGGAGATATGTATAGCATATATGAGGTCAACATAACAAATTTTAATGGTGGTTATTTCTTTTTTCTTTTTTTTTTTAAAGAACACCCATCTCTTTTTAAAATTAATTAATTAATTTTTGTTGCAGTGAGTCTTAGTTGCAGCAGGTGGGCTCCTTAGTTGTGGCTTTGTAGGCTCCTTAGTTGTGGCATTCGAACTCTTAGTTGCAGCATGCATGTGGGATCTAGCTCCCTGACCAGGGATCAAACACACGTTCCCTGCATTGGAAGGCAGATTCTTAACCACTGCGCCACCAGGGAAGCCCCATAATGGTGGTTATTTCTGATCAGGAGTGGGATGGAGGGAGTCTATTTTACTGTAAAGCTTTTATAAAAAGAACTTTTTAAAAATTTTAGAAAACTTCATTTATTAATATTTTTTTTAAAAAAGCTATGTTCAAAACAGTCGTTTGTATTCACCTCAGTTTGGATCAGTAAATATTTACAGTAAAGTTAGTTCAATTTAGTGAAACATTTACAATGCCTGTTATATGCAGTGTACTTTGGCATGGACAAAGATAAATAACTCCAGGAGAGAGTATATGGTAGAACCTCAAAAATATACAGCAGGCAATGAGCAGGACTCTAATGCCACTTCCGAAACACCTTTACTGAGCCTTGTATGCAGTTTTTATTTTGTGGGGGGGAGGGGGGCGGGGCTTGCAGAGATGAAAAGGCGGAGCCTTGCTTTGGAGGAGTTTGTCAACCGAGAGGGACAGTCAAGTTTTACTTTATGAATGGACTTTGAGATTAAACATACCAAGTTTGTTCAGAGGCAGCTTTTTAAATACTGAGTCAATGAAAAGGGAGAACTGCTAATGAGTCTTCATTAAGCCGCTTTAAACTGTAGGGTTTTCTGCTTGGTTTTGTGGCAGATGTTCTGCCTTATAGTTTATATATTTCCTACTAGACCACGATCCTACTAACAGCAAAAATTACCCATCTTTGTCTCTGTGGGCTAATACCTGTTACTGAATGAACACAGTCTCAAAGGTGATATTTCACATGTCTCAAATTCATATTTAAGTATTTTAAAAAATTTTAATATATTCAACCTTTGTAATCTCTGTTGAATATCCTTAGTTACTTTAAGAGCTTTTTAGAGTTAGTTTACAAAGTTGATATGAAAACATAAATATTTTTCTATCTCTCTCCTTTATGGATAGGGTAAAATAAAGTCAAATGCTTGTGACTCCCCTTTTTTTCCTAGAATTTTTTTAGAATGGTAATTGTGTTCTTTTTCAAAATTTTCTAACACCATTCTTATTTCTGAAGAGATTTCAGGGTAATAATAATAAATTTAAAATTCCATGGATATTTAATTCTAGCCTACTATATTTTTATGACTAGTTTGTTCTTTATTGTTAAAACAGATTTCTTTTGTGAGCTAAGCCTGACTCATGATTATGGACCTGCAATTGATTTTGGCATCTCTGATCATCTTAATTTAAACCTAGCTATACTTGGAATTTTATTTCTACTTGATTTCTAGCTGTGTGTACTCTCCTTCCCTCCCCCCATTTATTTTACTTTAATTTATCCACACTCTATTTCAAAAATAAACTTGTTTATCCAAGAGGTTTGGTAGAATATGCACAAATTCATTGTTAACTGCAATAGTTTACAAATGGGTGGGATTGTAAATATTTTGTATTTTCTTTTTGCCTGATTTTTCTCATTTTCTCTAATGATCTTGCTGCTTATGTAGTAAGGAAAAGTTGTTTTAAAATAAAATGATTGTTTATTTTCTGGGAGTGGGGAGGGGTTGAAATGCACACTGTTTGATGTTGTTTCAGGATCCTTTTCCCTGGAGGAAGTGTTGACCTCATGAATTCAGGTTACGCCCACGTGGCCAAAATATTTTACAAGTTGGCCATACAGGTAAACCTCAGTTATTTCTTATTATTCCAGGTGAGCTTTTGTAATTTTCCACGAGGATAATTCCTTTTTTAAGCACGTGGTAATACTTTCTGCACAATTACCCTAGTCTCGTCACACCTTTAACTGTTGGGGTGCCTGTTCTTTTCCAGCCAGTGGCAGCTCTTGGCCATTTTCTCTGCGCTTCATTTAATTCAGGGCTCCAGGGAGCCTCAGGGCCCTGCTGGCCGGCCCTCTCTGTTTGGGCTCATTAACGTGAACCAGGCCCTCATGGTGACCGAGTAAGCTGTCTTCATTATGTACTGGGCATTGTTTATGTGTTGTGTGTTTTTTTTTTTTTAATTATTTTTTTGGCTGCGTTGGGTCTTTGTTGTTGCGTGCGGGCTTTCTCTAGTCGCGGTGAGCGGAGCTACTCTTCATTGCCGTGCGTGGGCTTCTCATTGCGGTAGCTTCTGTTGTTACGGAGCACGGGCTCTAGGCATGTGGGCTTCAGTAGCTGTGGCATGCGGGCTCAGTAGTTGTGGCTCGTGGGCTCTAGAACGCAGCCTCAGTTGTTGTGGCGCACGGGCTTAGTTGCTCCGCGGCATGTGGGATTGTCCTGGACCAGGGCTCGAACTGTGTCCCCTGCGTTGGCAGGCGTATTCTTAACCACTGTGCCACCAGGGAAGTCCCTGTTCATGTGTTGTTAATTCTCATCTCCTCTCCGTGCAGTGACTTGCAGAGCCTCTCGATTCCTTTTTAGTCTCCTAAAAAGACTGCTCCTGCCTTTGCACCATAGCTCAGACCCTGGCTATTTCTCCCCTGAACTGTTAACAGCAATTTTCTAATTAATCTTGCTGGTCCTACTATCTCCCCCAACCTTAAATATTTCCCTAAGAAACTGCTTTTAGCATATGAGATGCTTGTTTGAAAACTTTTAATGGCTTGGCTTGATGACCTGTAGCCTTTTATAGTCTTTGAGTCAAGATATACAGTGTGTCCACAGCTCACCTTTTCCAGACTTTGCTTGTGCAGGTAATTGCAGCCAGGCTGGTATTTCCAGCACATACTCTGTGTCCTCCTACTTTCAGATCTGCTTAGGCTGTTCCTTTCTACCCTGTCCCTAATTTGTGCCTTAGCCAGCTTTTCAGGGAAGCCCAGAGACAGAATATCTTGAAGTTAGCTGTTCATGTCTCATCAGATTGCATGGCTCTGACACCCTTTGAGGCATTCCTCATTTCATATCATATGGTTCCATGTACTTAGTACATGCTCAGTGGATATTTTTTGGAAAAACTAGCGAACAAACTTGAAATTTTATAACATGAGTGATTTAAAATGCATTTGGAAAGCATATATATGAACATTATAAAGCCACTCTTCCTTTGCATATAGAGACTCATGTAACTGGCTTGTTCAATTTAAAAAACAGGAGCCGCCTAACCCGTAAGACCCAAAGGCCTATTTAAAAAAAATATAATTAGGGCTTCCCTGGTGGCACAGTGGTTAAGAATCCGCCTGCCAGTGCAAGGGACACGGGTTCGAGCCCTGGTCCAGGAAGATCCCACATAACGCGGAGCAACTAAGCCCGTGCACCACAACTACTGAGCCTGTGCTCTAGAGCCCGCAAGCCACAACTACTGAGCCCGCGTGCCACAGCTACTGAAGCCCGCGCGCCTAGAGCCCATGCTCCGCAATGAGAAGCCCGCGCACCACGACAAAGAGTAGCCCCTGCTCGCCGTAACTAGAGAAAGCCTGTGCGCAGCAATGAAGACCCAACACAGCCAAAAATAATAAATAAATAAAAATAAATAAATTTTTAAAAATGTAATTAGCTACTTGAAGATTTCAAAGCAAAGAAAAAAACTTAGCAACCTTGAACTTCCATTTAGCTGTAGCCACTGGGGTCCACAGGCCCTGATGAAGAAGCCCTGAGAAGTGATTTCTGTGAGATCTATTCGGTTTCACTCTGTGTCCTTTGCTCTGCTGATCACAACAAACAAAAGATGTGGTCCCAGCAAGTGGGGATTTAACATTTAGTTCAGAAATCAAGTTTGGTGTGCATATGGAAACAGAGGACAGTTCAGCCCTCTTTTGTGTTTATTGTAAGTGGATGCAGTAAGACCCTTCAACATAACATATACAATTCTGACTTCTAAAAATAAAATTTTCCGGACTTGCATATAAAAGTATTAAAAATCCTATCTTGAGATAGGAACTATAGGAATTAATGCTGTTCTATATTTTTCTCATTGAAGAACAGAAAAAAACTCCCTAACAATTTCCTCATTTAAAATGAGTGACTGTTAGGTTATATATATATATTTTTTTTTTTTTTTTTATTTATTTATTTTTTTTTTTTGCGGTATGTGGGCCTCTCACTGTTGTGGCCTCTCCCATTGTGGAGCACAGGCTCCGGACGTGCAGGCTCAGCGGCCATGGCTCATGGGCCCAGCCGCTCCGCGGCATGTGGGATCTTCCCGGACCGGGGCACGAACCTGCATCCCCTGCATCGGCAGGCGGACTCTCAACCACTGCGCCACCAGGGAAGCCCCGTTAGGTTATATTTTACAGTCTATGCAGGAAAACCACTGCTTTTAGAAAAGTTACAAAACCCAGTTTTGTAACTACCAGCACACTTGGGTTTAGTCTTTGGTTAATCAGAAAATTCAGTTGCTGGAATGCTTCTCCCCCAGTCACACTGGTTGTTGTGACTTCCTCTGAAGAAACCCAGTACATCTGTACTTTTTTAGTTGACAACTTTTACTCTCTGAAATTTTATTTTACTTTTGCTTGCCGACTGTTCCTTTCCTTCCAGATCATGGCTTTCACCTGATTTAAATCTGATTAGCTGAAGGTGGTATAATGCAGCTGTTACTATAAATTCTGAGAAAATGGAGGAAAGACTTCCATTCAGAGTATGTTCAAAACTGAACAGTCATTTAAAGCAACAAGATTTGTAGAAAATGTGTAAATAGTCATTTATCTAGCATTATCCTTGATATTTACAGTCCCTGAATGTTACATGTGTTGTTTGGTAGTTGACTGGCAAATGTCTGTATCTTTCCCAGCACAACTGAGTTTGGATAGTTTGGTTAACTAAACCTGAACTATTATGTGGGAGCTTGATCTAAAGAGAAATTAAGTGATATCCTACTGATAGAAGAGAGAGTAAGTGATAGCCTACTACTATTGATCCTGGAAAACTCCTTAGGAATCCATGTATACCTCAGGTGCCAATCTTGTATGACAAATCAAATGTATAATTTTTATTTTGAAAAGTTTGAGTAAGCTTAGTTTTCTCTTTATTCTGCACAGGGTTTTGGTAATGGAGACTATTTTCCCACGTGGGGGACCTGCCTTGGATTTGAAGAGCTTACGTATCTGGTCAGTGGAGAGAGCTTATTAACCCTCACAGATACTGTTGGAATTAAAATGCCACTGAACTTCACTAGAGGTAAGAATTCTCTTTTGATCCTGAAAAAAATATTAACTGGGCAGGATTAGTAAGTTGCAAATATCAGAGTAAAAATATGTTCATAACATTTGTTAATTTTTAAATTATTTGCACAGGCTGAAGATGTGAATGATCACTTTTTGTACTGAGTTATAAAGTTGGCTTAAGGAATCTTGAATGTTGATAACTTATTGCTTCTAGTGACGTCAGGACAGTGCATGATTAAAAACTCTAAAATCAGACTTGGTTTTGAGTCCTAGCTTTGTCACTTCTGCCTTGGGGAATCATTTACCCTCTCTTAGCTTTAATTTCCTCATTTGTAAAAGCGTTTACCTGTTAGGATTTTTTTGCGAGGATTAAATAAGATAATGTTTTCCAGGTACTCTGATAAGCACTTTAAATATTACTCTAATAAATGTTAGCTATTATTATTATAGTCAGCATTTTTCCCTTGGCTGTGTACTCTGTTTCGATCCCAGATAGGGCGCACTGCAATTCCATTCTAGTACTAACAACCTGAAGTTTAGCACAGACTCCAGTTAAAGGTTATCTCCGTGACTAGACTGCCCTTATGTCAGATACCAGCCGCGAGTCATACCCCGAGGCCACCCATACATCTGATCAGATGGCCATGAATCTTGGGATTTCCACAATCCCCCTCAGGTTTAATAATTAACTGGAATGACTCTCAGAACTCAGGAAAGTGCTATGTTTGCAATAAAGAGTTTTACTGTAAAGGATACACATGGGGCAAGGTCTGTGAGGGAATATAGAACTTCTTGCCCTCTCCCTGTTGAGTCAGGGCACGTCACCCTCCTGGCGCATCAATATGTTCACCAGCCCTGTAGCTCGGTGAACTTTGGTGCTCAGAGTTTTTATCGGGACTTTATTATGAAGGCATGGTTGATTAAATCATTGGCCGTGTTATTGAACTCAATCTCCAGTCCCTGTCTCATCCCTGGAGATCAGGCTAGCTCAAAGTCAGACCTACTCTAGAAGTCCAATGCATGTCCATTGCACTACATAGCCAGGTAAAGTCAGACCTGCTATAATCACGTGGTTAGTTTTTCTGATAACCAGCCTCATCCTGAAGCTGTCCAGGGGCCACCTTGTGTCACCTCATTAGCATTACAAAGACACACCTATCAGTCAGGAAATTCCAAGGCTTTAAAAGCTCCCAGTCAGGAACCCAGGACAAAGACCAGACAAATGCTTTATTTACCAATCTGTGTAAATAGATCATGATTCTTGGAGGTTACTTGATTTCTGAATCATCAGAATTGAATGTTGAATGCTACCAACCATTCCTGTTCTCAAAAGGATATTGGATAGAAAGTAGTAGTTGTTATACATAGAATCTGTAAAATGCTCTATACTTTTCAAAGCTCTTTCTCACATTATCTCACTTAATTACTGCAAGAATCCTGTGGGAAGTGTATGTATCAGGTCAGTCTCTTTTGGTTGTATGTGGTTAAAACCGAGTTTATACAAAAAAAGGAATGAAATCCGCTGAAGTAAGGTATCAGCGGATTTTTATTATGTAGGGCTCTGGGATTCTAATGGAAGCCATTAGCATCCTGAATGAGGGGTTCATTGAGGGACAGCTGGCGTTAGGGCCTTGAACACCATCAGGCTTTTCTTATCCCTTTGCTGGCGTATGTCTGTGTCAGACTCCAGAGCCTTCATTGAGGTAAATTGCTTCTTTTTTTTTTTTTTTTTTCTTTTTTTTTGCGGTACACGGGCCTCTCACTGTTGTGGCCTCTCCTGCTGCGGACGGAGCACAGGCTCCAGACGTGCAGGCTCAGCGGCCATGGCTCACGGGCCCAGCCGCTCCGTGGCATGTGGGATCTTCCCGGACCGGGGCACGAACCCTTGTCCCCTGCACCGGCAGGCAGACTCTCAACCACTGCGCCACCAGGGAATCCCATTGCTTCTTTTGATCTATTTAGTGAGTAGAATTATCTTGGCCTGGTTAATGTTTTTTCCTACGTTGTTGGTATTTTTAACCGTTTAAGTCCCAGATACCTTTGAAAATGTGTTAAAAGTTCTGGGTCCTTTCCTGAGAAAACAAATATATACACATGTGGAAAATTTCACCTATTTTTCAGCGCTGTCTAGAGAACTCATTTTAAAATCCTCTGCTTACTCTATGGCTAGCCTGCTTATTATCACGTCTGAAGAATTTTAGTTATTTATGTTACAGTTCTACAAGAAAAGTACTTAAGTATGGAACATATTTGGAATTGTGTGTTAAACTTATTTTGTGCTTGACTAGAATACTTCTGTGGAAATGATGTGTTTGCATATCATTTAGTCATCTTGATTATGTCTTAACAATGGCCTCTCTCTGGCTGAAGATCAGTTGACTTCAATGGATTTTATTTTTTCTGTGTTTAAATTATTTCTTTTTATGCTTGAATTATTTCAGGTCCATTGCAGAGCAGAATGTTCCAGAATTTTCCTGCTGACTTGTTGCTGTCATTAGCAATAGAACCTCTGACTGCAAACTTCCACAAGTGGAGCCTCTCTGTGAAGGTATCCCATTAATAACACAATGAAATTAATGCATTTAGATTTACTACAGAAGTAATTATTTTGTTTTTATTTTTGCACTTTAGAATTTTACAATGAATGAAAAGTTAAAGGCGTTTTTCAATATATTAACTACAAATACAGATGGCTCTATTGAGTTTATTTCAACAATGGAAGGTATGTATCACTGCAGATGTACACTTTATTTTACTTATTCTATGATTTAATTTTGATTTTATAGTTCTCTTATGAATAAGATCATGTTACTTTGGGGACTGAAGTTAGAAGTTAGGGCATTTTTGGAGACAGGAGGCCTGTTTTGCCCATGTTCCAAATCAGTTGTGGTTTACCTGGGTCACCTTCTATGATAGGGTGATGAACAAGGGAAGTGAAGAGTAAGGGGAGAGTGGATGAAGAAATAACTGGAGAAAGTGATTTCTGTTTCTAGCGATACTGCAGCTTAAGTACGTGCTGCAGACAACAGCGAAAAGTGTGACTGACATACAGGAAAACACCTTCCTAAGTAAATACATTGATGAAGTGACAGTAAGGGTGTTCAGGCCCCAAATTGCAGGAGGTAAGTGGAGTATTTAAACCAGCCTTATTATTGAGTCAGGAGAGCTTGAGATGAAGCTCAGGAACCCCCTCCCTGGAGAGTACCCCCGTGGAGCAGGACGCGGAAGGCTGGACCCTCCGTGAATCCTGCCTGCACAACTGCAGGGAGAGTTTGCCATCCTGAACCGTAGCGCTAAGCGGGTGGGCTGGTAAATCAGTAAAGCCCCGAGTGTTTTCATGACAGGCCGGTCTAGCGTGGCCCACGCTATAAGACCTGGGAAGTTCGGCACATCTTGAGTCAAAAAGTGCGTTTGAAGTTATATCGGACTGATAGTGCCTCAACGTGCGTGTCAGAAACAAACGTCAGTAGTGCTCTCTGGAGGAACCTGCATTTTTCCGGGACTTTTAAGAAGTTTCCATATGAGGTTTTAAGGAAAGTGATTGGTTCACAGCCAAAACATCACAAGTGCACAAGGAAGCAAAGTACCATGAATGAGAGCTTGCAGAAGCAGTAGGTGGTTTCTCAGCTGGCGAGACTGATTGGTGCTACTGGCGAGGCCCGAGCACTGGACTGGAGTCAACTGGGACGAGGCAGAAGTAGTTCCCGCTACTCGCAGGTTGTGGCCGTGTCACTGGCTCCCTTGTTGGGGGAGGTCAGATGTCTGAAGGTTCAGAAACGACCTCCCCGGAATTCTGGGAAGGCTGACGAGTCCAGTCTGAAGTGAACCACTCTGAGCTTCTCTCTCTAACCCTGTTTCCCCTCCTGTATTTCTTACTTTAGTTGACAGCGTTGCCATTCGCCACATCATCTAGTGTTGGCTGTCCTTGACTTCCGGCCCTCATCCTCCACATCTAAGAAGTCCGTGCCACTTGCTACTTCCCACATCCTTCTTGGGAATTCCTCTTCCCAGATCTCTCTGCTCCTCCTGTCCGACTGCAACATAAACCACCCGCCGCCTGTGTTGCCGCAGGCGCTCCTAACTGTTCCACAGACCTGCCTTCCAGCCGGTCACCAGCAATCCCCCGAGATTCCAGTCTGACCACATTGCTTGGGGAGAAAGCTCCTCAGTGGCTCTTCAGCGCTTGGAGGATGGAGTCTGGATTTCCCAGTCATTTACTCAAGGTCTCCCCCACAGCCATCGCTAGCCTGGATTCCTTGCACCCTGTTCAGTACACACAGCCCTCCACAGAGCAGCACTTCTGGCCCCCGTGCTTTTCCTTACGTTCTTTCCTCTCCTCTGAAAAGCTTTCCTTCCTCCCCATTCCCTTCTGCTGATGGCCTCTTAGCTAGCTTTAAGAACTCAGGGCAGTGGTCAGCTCCTGGAGGCCATCCCTGCCCGTTATCCTTTCTTGCCACATCCTCAGTGCTCCTCCTTTATACTTGCTCTGCACTTCCTAGGAATGTCTCTTTGCACTTATTTGCTCATGTTCTGTCTTTCCTCCTAGGCTAAGACCTCACTGAGAGCTGGGACTCTGTCATTCTTTGTGTTTCCAGGACTTTATGGAAATCTCAGTAGATGTCGAATAGATGAGTAATTATTTAAATGAAAGAGTATTGGCTTGGAAATTAGGGAATAGGACTTCATGTTGGTTCTGTTCCTGGCTATGTCATCATACCAGGCTCATTTGAAATTTTTATCTTCTGAAAGTTTTCTGACACCTACTAGATAGAAACACTTGAGATGCTCCTATATGCGCATTTCCTTCCTGTTCTTGATATTTTGTTCTAAATTAGTGAGCCAGGGCATGATTCCTAGAGTTGTCAGGAACCTGCATTGATCTTTTATTGACGCAGTTTACAAAAAATGAGTAAATCTCAACTTGCTTCTGAATGTCAGTGTGTATCTCTGTCCTATCCATTCATCTATCTGAAAAATCTTTATTACAATTTATCACTTAGGGTATTTCTTTTTTTAAATAAATTTAATTAATTAATTAATTTATTTATTTATGGCTGTGTTGGGTCTTTGTTGCTGCATGCAGGCTTTCTCTGGTTGCGGCGAGCGGGGGCTACTCTTCGTTGAGGTGCACGGGCTTCTCATTGCGATGGCTTCTCTTGTTGCAGAGCACGAGCTGTAGGCGCATGGGCTTCAGTAGTTGCGGTGCGTGGGCTCAGTAGTCGTGCCTCTTGGGCTCTAGAGCGCAGGCTCAGTAGTTGTGGCGCACGGGCTTCATTGATCCGCGGCATGTGGGATCTTCCCGGACCAGGGCTTGAACCTGTGTCCCCTGCATTGGCAGGCGCATTCTTAACCACTGCACCACCACTTAGGGTATTTATTTTTCTAAATAATACTTTTCATATCTCAAAGAAATATATTAGAAGATCTGCCTTTCAGTTACCTATGTGTAACAGTTAATTTCCTGGTCATCCAGCCCATGGGTCTCCTGCTGGTGGCATCACATGTGGTTCAAGACAGAGAAAGAGAGTATGTCACAAAGAAGGAGGGAGGGGGGAGGGGCGCAGTGGGGAGGGATGGAGTAGAGTGACCGGAGCTGCTTGCTGGTAGGTTCTTTTCTCTTGTGAATCTAGACTGAAGAAGGCTAGGATAAAATAGGTTTCCTTCTTCTGACGTGATCTCTCTTAGCAGAGTCTCATGGGATATGTGGACAGTGCCCTTTTCCCTAGATATCTCTACTTTTGGATAATTCATTTCTCTAAGTATTTTCCCGTGGTAGTCACGGTTATAATTTCAAAGCAAAAATAATAGAGGGAGGATTTTTTTTTCAATTAAAATGAGGAAAGGCATATGTGAAGAGAAAAAGAGATGAGTATAGATATTTCTCAAAAGGTAAATATTACACATATTTTTTAAAAATTATGGAATTTTAAAACGATATTTAGAAGTAGAGAGAGTAATATAATGATCCCCTGGGTACCTTTCTCTAAGCTTCAACAACTATCACATTTATGTGGCCATTCTTGTTTCATATCTATTTTCTCCTCATAACCAGCTTAGTTTTTGGAGTAAATCCTAGGGATCGTATCATTTTTGTATATAAAGATATTTAAGAATTCTAAAAATAAGTGAAGTACATTACCAAAAATCTTTCACACCAAATTTAAACTTTTAAAAACTATTTAAAAATTGGCAGCATGAAACCATGAACCTTTCCATAGACTGAGAGAGAGACACAGTTGAGCCTGAGACTTATGTAAAAGGACACTAAAGATGCTGGCGTAGTTCATGCTCATGTGAATGTCATTATAGGAGGGGATGAAAATGCGGTATGAAGTGGGGGGAAGAGAGTTGTAGAAGAAACTTGTGACTAATCAGATGTGCGGTTGACTGTTGAGCTGGGATATATTCAAAGGCTCAGTTTTTTCACTCTACTCTGATCACCTAGTAAACGGAATCGTATTTCAAATTATAAAAGGTTGTAAGTCAGTGAAATATTGTATTGTGAACTTTCACATTGACTGTGAACTGAAATTGTTTGTGTCTGAGAGAATGTGCACAGTTTAATTTTGTCTGACATTGGGTGTTATAAAAATAATGTTTTACACAGCATGTAAAGCATAATTTAATTGTTAAGTAACATCCCAGACCATTGTTACTACTTAATACTCACCAGTCTATGTTCTTTGTGCAGGATACCAGTATCCGGTATATGGTGTCCAGTGGCACCCAGAGAAAGCTCCTTATGAGTGGGGAAAATTAAAAGGCATTTCCCATGCGCCTAATGCTGTGAGGGCTGCATTTTATTTAGCAGAGTTCTTTGTGGCTGAAGGTAATATGGGGCAGGGGTTATAATTTTGTCTCTCTAGTGTGGTTTTGAAGGAAGTTGCCCTCATCTGAACTTCTGTGTACTTTTACTCTATAAATGTTTTGTAGGTTTAACTTTTAAAAAAATTAATTCATGTGAAAGCCCTGAAATTGAGATATTAGTCATTCAAATCAAACCAGGACAGTTCTTTCAGTTAACGGTACTGTACAGTCTAAAGTGGGCTGATTTCCTGAACAACAGCATAAAGATTGTTTTGTTTTGTTTTCTTGAGTCCTTTTTTTTTCAGATTCCCCTCCAATTACTCTTTTTAGGGATAATGATTTAATTATGACATTCTCTGAGGATTAGCTCTTACTTTTCCAAGACAATTATGTAAATTGACTCTATACTCAAAAGTCTGTGGTTTTCAGGCTGCCTATCTGTAGGGGTTGGCACAGTGGAGAAAGTTAATACGCTTTGCCTGCTTTTTCATGATGAAAACACAGGCATAGTCATGCTAGGTTATGTTTGTGGGTAAATTGAGAATTTGGTTATAGATGCTTGGGTTTTAGTTGAGTGATATGGGTGTAAGACAGAGCTACAAACACAACTTGCAAGGGATTAGGGCGTCGCTCTGGCAAGTCGCGGCCCCGGGAAGATTTCCATGAACTTTGTTTGCATCCTCCCTTCACGCTTGCCCTGAGGTTTTATCAACCCTCCGTCCACACTCGCAGGTAAAGTGCTTCCTCCTGAGTTCACTGTGGTTTAGAATTGTGCTCCGGTGAACGGGTCATTTCATTACAAAAACCCCAGATTAAAAAGAAGTTCTCCCAGGTGTAGTATTAGTCCCAAGAAACATTTTCATGTCGTTTGTATAGGAGTGAGGAGCACAGCAGAGAGCAGAGCAAGGCTCCCTGCAGCAGTATCACAGGAACGGCTACATGGCCTTCATTTTCCAATATCCCTCTTTCTAAAAATGCCACGGAGGCCTGTATTTACTTTATTTTGACTTTAGGGTAAAGTCTGAGCCCTCACCCCCTCACACCTAAAGTTTAGCCATGCGACTTCTTTGTGCCTCCTTGCTTTTCAAATTTCTGCCTTACCTGGGGGAGATGCCTCCCTTCTCCCTTGCCTCAGCTTTGCCAGTTTCTCCATCCTCTTGAAGCGTCCTCCTGATTAGTCTATAAAAACTTCTGTGTGGTGACCAGACAAGACTTCTTGAGCGTTAGGACCTTGCCTTGTGGATGTCGCCATCCCCAGGCCCTACATCAAGCTATGCACACAGTAGGCGTGTAGTAGGCGTTTGAATGAAAGGGGAGTGAGCGCCACGTGGGGTCTGGTGCAGGGTTAGCACGGCTGCTGTCAGGAAGGCTCTACTCCAAATCAGGTGCTACTTTATTTGGGGGAGTTTGCTAAGACGTTTCTCCTCTTTGCTGGTATTATCCCACTTAATAATGCTGATCATAGGAAGAAATATTTTAAAGTAGCCTTTTGAAAATTGTATCCTATCTTTTTAAAAAATTAACGCTTTCTTTTTCTTGCAGCTCGGAAAAACAATCACCATTTTGAATCTGATGTTGAAGAGGGCAAAGCACTAATTTATCAGTACCGTCCAGTTTATACTGGGAACATTTCTTCGTTTCAGCAAAGTTATATATTTGATTGAAAGCCTTCAGTGTGTTAACAGAGAAATTTTGATTAACTCCATGATTAAACTGTTGTAATAACTTGTTACTCATGACGATAATAGAAGGCCACAGAGATTCCTTTGCTATGATGTTACTGGCTCTGATTCTTCATTCAGTATATTTGACTATTTATTATCACATTTGATAATCAGTCAGTGAGACAGATACATAATCTGAGTGTTTTTCATGGAAAAGCTTTCTTTTATCTGAAGATGAGAAAAAAATAAATTTATTGAAAATACAGATATTTCATTTTTTCTAATTGATTGATTCTGGAAATACATACCACTCCCTACCCATCCACTTACCTCATCCTTGCTGAAGACTCTTTATTTTTTTATTAATTTTTATTGAGTTATAATTAACATACAACATTATATGAGTTTTAGGTGTGCAACATAGTGATTTGATATTTGTATACATTATAAAATGATCATCACAGTAAGTCCAGTTAATGTCACCATAGGAGATTGTTACAGTATCATTGACTGTATTTTCTCTGTGTATATTACATCTTCAGGACTTAACTTATTTTGTAACTGGAAGTTTATATCTCTTAATCCCCTTTACCTACTCTGCCCTACCCCCTGCCTTTCTCCCCTCTGGCGACCACCTGTTCATTCTCTGTATCTATGACTGTTTCTGTTTAGATGTGTTTGTTCATTTGTTTTATTTTTTAGATCACATATATAACTAAAATCATTCAGTATTTGTCTTTCTCTGTCTGACTTATTTCACTTAGAATAATACCCTCCGGATCCATCTATGTTGCCACAAATGGCAAGATTTCATTCTTTTTTATAGCTGAATAATATTCCAGTGTGTGTGTGTGTGTGTATACATAATGGAATGTATATATATGTATACATATATATGGAATATATATACATACATATGTGTATGTATACATATGTATATATGTTTGTATATATGTATATTTATTGGGTTGGCCAAAAAGTGCCTTCAGTTTTTAAGTAAAAATAAAAGACACATTTTTCATTTTCACCAAGAACTTTATTGAACAACATATTCACCCTTTTATTCCACTACCTTCTGCCATTTTTCAGGCAACTTCATAATTCCATCTTCCCAGAACATTTTACCTTTTTGAGCAAAGAACTGTACCAGGTACCTTTTACAGTCTTCCAGGGAATTAAAATTATTTCCATTAAGAGAATTTTGTGAAGACCTAAATAAGTGGAAATCCGAAGGTGCAATGCCCCGTGAATACGGCAGATGAATCAGAACTTCCCAGCCAAGCTGTAACAGTTTTTGCCTGGTCATCAAAGAAACATGCAGTCTTGTGTTATCCTGATGGAAGATTACACGTTTTCTGCTGACTAATTCCAGGTGTATTTTGTTGAGTGCTGCTTTCAATTGGTCTAATTGGGAGCAGTACATGTTGGAGTTAATCGTTTGGTTTTCCAGAAGGAGCTCGTAATAGAGGACTCCCTTCCAATCCCACAATATATACAACATCACCTTCTTTGGATGGAGACCAGCCTTTGGTGTGGTGGGTGGTGGTTTATTTCACTTGCCCC